AGTGACTAGAATAGTGGGCACCCAATAAACATCTGCTGAATGAATACATGAATAAATTAATGAGTAATCGTATCCAGTATAGTATATGTCACACACCATATTGGGAAATAGTAGTTTACTTATTTGATGTTCCCAGGGGACTGTCTGAAACAAATGAGCTTCTCAGGGGCACTGAGGCCTTCTTTCCTGTATCTCTAGGTTTTAATCAGCAATAGTATCTAACACCTGAAGATGCTCAGTAAATGTTATTTGGAGAACAAAATGAAACAAAACTCTTAATTAACCTTAGCTAGCAAGGGTAGCTGAATTCCAGAAGAAAAACAACCATCTAATTTATTTCATTAGAATCAGTTTTGCAGAATGCTTTACCCCCTACGAAATTACTGTGCTTCCAGGAAAACTTTACCTATCTTTTTCTACTTTACAGATGGTCAGAATAAAAACCTTACTGAAGACACTTTTTGTGTCTTCTGGAACCTCTCCACCTTACTTTCTTAGATGAAGAGCCTGAAGCTGGAGGTAGGTGATAAATTATCGCTGACACAAATTTCCCTCATGAACGTCTTGAGTCTCTTCTTTTGGCACAGGAATAAAATATTAAAATATTACAGCTGGATTTGATTTTTATTGTTTTCTAATCCTATATGCACTTTTTAATCCTTTGTGCAGAGGAAAAAATTGAGGCCTAAACATGCTGAGTGACTTGTCCACATCCTAAGGTGGTAGTAGCAGGAAATGACAACCAAGTGGAGAGGCAGGTGCCACGTTGGTGGGGTAATGTACTATTTGACAAATAGAATGTAATTTTGGGACCAGAGAGGCAGCTCTTGCACACTTAATGTACAATGTACTTAACTGGATTGAATGGGTTCCCTGACTTTGAATCCATGTGGTAACAAAACCATGTAGAAGGAATCCACAAAGTCTGGAGTATTTTTAAAGGCTTTGAGCAGGCACAGCACTTTGTGTTACACTCTCTGTAACACCCCATGGAGTCTTCAGGAATGTTCTGTGATGAAATGACGTTATGTTTGGGAATTTGTTTGATATCCTGACTGGCTTCTGTTCCTTCTTACTGGATGTACAATTTACATATTTGAGTCAGTCTATCTAAATTTAGTAATAACCTTCTAATCTGGGATACAGGCACTTCATTGCCTCTCCTTTTGGTTCTTCTATGATCTTTTCAAACTGCAAAGCCCATTCTTCTGGAGCATGGTGTCTGAACTGTATTTCTCCATAATTTAACCACAATTCCTATATTTTTACAGAAGGTTATCCACTTCTCTTTTGGCTATGTAGTTCACGAGACTAGTGTATATATTACCTGTTATAAATCTCTACTATCCATGTTGCTAATGGCTATAAGTCTATTTTCTAACTGATGGTTTCTATTTGTTCTTAGAAAAAAAGTATGTCTAAGCATAGGGTTTAGCTTGATTGATATTTTTTTATATCAGTTGTATCTTAACAGGTTAATGAAATTGTGATGTGTATCAAATAAACAGATTTAACTTTTATCATATACATTTTTATATAATAGAGTTTTTAATTATTTAACTTTCAAGTTTAAAATAAAAGTTAGTTATATGGAAAAATATGAAAGAGTAAAAGTTTTCCAAAGAACTTTGTGATATGTGTCTGAGATAAAACCTATACAATAAAAGTATGCATATTAAAAACTTATAAAAGGATCTGATGAAGATTTTGATCTATGATTTTGCATTAGTTTCAACAGACAGTCTGTACATTTATTTCTCAGAACTCCAGGGTACTCTACTAACATGACTTATAAACCTATATTACATGTTTATCTTTGTCAGTATTATGTTCTGCACAATATGATAGTCCTTAGGGAGCATTAATTGCTAGCTATCCCTTAGCTACTTAAGGGTAATCCTGGAATAATTACCATGTATTTATGAGAATGAGGCATTTATTTATTTATTGCCTTTCTCCTAAAATCCCATAGTACTGGAGTCAAGAAGATAACAGTATAAATATGCCCACTTATCTCTGTGGGAATTATTCCTTTTGCCATCTCCACCACCCACCCTGCAACAATGCAACATCCTTATATGGGGCTTACTCTTCCAGATTAAAACTATGGTATTGCCACTCAAAAGCATATTGAATCTATCCTTTCTTAACTATTTTTTCTTTTCTTATCTACACCTTTCTCTCTCTTTCTCTTTTTTTGAAATGGGACAAGGTCCTTAACTTTGGGATTATTATAAATTTGGCTGTGTTGAGGTCAGTGGTGCCATTTTTAGACAAGATTGTTAGAGATGTAAAGTAATAACTGTGTGGGTTGTTTGCATGTTTATGTGAAATAAACTGAGTATTTCAAACTGGCAGGCAAATGCTACAGGCAATCTTATTAAACCTATTCAGTTGATTTAGAATAAAGAATTCCTACTACTTCATAGGGATAATAAATCTCTTTTCTTTTCATATACTTTCATGTTTTTATAACATGTAAATAAAACACATACGAATGCATGAAAAAGTCATATAATGTGATTTATCAAAGGGAGAAAATAAATTTCTGATACTTTTCAGGCTTTGAATTTATTGTTGGACACTCATTTCCAGATATTTCATGCATAAATACACATAAGAGGAATTCAGCATCATACTTAAATTGTTATTTTAAATGTTTTGCAAAGATTCATAACTCAACTTTAAATTTATCTTTTCCTTCCAGAGAGATATAAAACAAAAGAAATAACTTGAAATACTCATGCTAAATTAATAACAAGGAAGTCAGAAATTATAAAGGAAATGATTAACATATTTTGGTATTTCCTCTCTTTTAGATTATAATCTTTGGTAGGCATTTTGGCACAGCTAAATCTTCCTAAATTTCACATTTTAGAGGTAATTTATTCTTTTACTCACTTTATTCTTTTAAAATAAGGAAAATAAATATTTTCCTAATTTTAAAAAGTAATATGTTAAAATAATATCAAATTATTTATGTAATGTTATTTAATTCAGATAAGATAATTAAAGTGTAAAACTAGGACATTCACTGTGATAATAGCAAAAACAAACAAAAAATTCCATGGGTTTTAGAGGCAGATAGACTTCAGTTTGAACACCAGTCATGCTACTCACTTTGAGTTAGAGGTACTTCTAAAGGTTAAATAAACTGAGATTCAGTGGATATTGATACTCAGGAGAGCTGCTGGGAAAATGAAATGGCAAACCAGGTGTGTAAAGTGCCTGGCACGGTGTACCAATAGTGCCTACCATGTAAAGTGGCTTACTGTGAGCTGCACACTATTGCTAAATGCTTCACACACTTAATACAAATGTAATCCTTACAGCATTCCTATGGAGTAGAAGTTACTTTGTCCCCATTTTACACATATGGAGTAAAGAATAGAGGTATTAAAAAATTTACCCAAACTTACACAAATGGCTAGAACAGCATTCTAACTGGGGCCCATCTGTTTGATTAGCAATGGTTGTGTAATTAACTGCTCAGTGGCTTTAAACAACCATTCTATTATTTCTCATGATTTTATGGGTTGACTAAACTGAGGGGGTGATTCTTTGTTGCACAAGACGTCAACTGCAGTTGCAGCATCTGGTGGTGGTCAGGGGAGGGGGAGCAGTGTCTGAGATGGTTCATCATAAGGCTGGCACTCGGTGCTCACTCTGCTGGGAGCTCAGATAGAGCTGCCAACTGGAAAGTCTCAGTTCCCCTCCTCTTTGCAGTACTGCACATATCCTCACCATGTGGATTAGCTTTGTTTAGCATTGAACTCTGGGTTACAGGAAGGAGTTTTGAAAGAGGACTGGTTCCAAGTGTTCCAAACGTGTAAGATGCTCTCCATTGTACCACACTTGTTACTGTCTCATTGGCCAAGGCCAGTCACATGGACAAGCCCAGAGTCAATGTGGGAGAGAAAAACACAAGGGCATGAGTACCCGAAGGCCCCATTAAGGTGATTAAAGTAAAAGCCCACTGCAACAGCTATCATTGGTGAACAATTTGAGTCCTCCAAACTAGGATGGCTGTCAGTAATCTGCTCCCACTGGGCAGCATGTTGGACACTTGTGAGAAGGGCTTAGGTGTTTCAGACATACAGCCAATTATACACTTAGTAAATTTTTATACTTTTTTGCTCCAAATATGACATTAAATTTCAATTTCATATAAATGATTTTCAAAGAAATTTCAGTTTTATGAAAGAAAAATGCCTCTCAAAGATTTAAATTGTTTTTTGTGTTTTTTAAATGTCATTCTATATTAGGTTTTATATATTATATTCATTAGTGACTAAAATAAGGAGAAATATACTTAGGTTTTATGCCCTATGATTATTCAAATAAAAGTAAATATATGGCAATATATTTCTTAGAAATATGATTAATTGTGGATTTAAAAGACCCTCTTTTCAAAGAAGTGGCATTCATCCCACTATTTCTATTAAAAACAGACTTTTTTATTTCAGAAGTTGTAGTTCTATTTTTATTTTATATCAATTAAAATAATTTAGTTCTAATGGTATTTATGTAGATAGGTTCCACAGAGAACCTTTTGTTTAAAAGTTTACTTCAGATAAAGCACTCTATATTTGCTTATGCAATTTATTTCCAAACAGAAGTGTTCTACTTTAATGACCCAAAATACTTAAACTGTTTCTTCTACTAATACTGAAAGTTAGGCAGGTTTAGAAAAAGGGAATAGCTTATACAAATGAGAAAAAATATAAATAGCTCTTTACCCTTGATTCATTACTTCAAATTAAATTAACAAATGATTTGTAGGTAGTAAATACCTTTTCAAAGCTGTGTGGTGACCAGTGCAAACTCTGATAATGTCATAGCCTAATATGGCATCACTCTGAGGGGTGATACCAGAAGATAATATCTGAATTAAATTATCTCCTTAATGGCTATAATATTACTATTAAGCTTCTTTTTTCCAAAATAAAAGGAACTGAGATAAATATACAAAATAAGTAATTAAAGAAATCAGTACTTACTTTTTGTGACAACACCTTCTAGTCGAATAATATTTGGGTGGTCAAACTGACCCATGATACTCGCTTCTCTTAGAAAATCTCTTCTTTGCCGATCCATGTGGCCACCTTTCAAAGTTTTGATGGCAACTGGGATCTCCCTTTTCCCTGGTGTCTTCAAACGCCCACTGCAGACTTCTCCAAATTCTCCTTAAAACAAAAGTAGTTATTAGTTTAAAGAGAGTACTTTTATTCCAGAAGAACTGAGTTGTCATACAGTACCCACTTTTTGTTTTTAATGTAATAACTCTCAAGTGTGTCATTTTCACATGGAGATTTCCTTCTTAAAATTAAATTTGTAATGACAACATTTTTTATCAGCATCACTTATAATAAATAGCAGAATGCACTTTCATATGTTGTGCTACAGAGCTAACTTCAATAGATATTCCTGATCTGCTGAGAAATTATGAATAGCCAAATGGGTAATGTTAATGTAATTCTGTGGAAAAGCAATCACTGCATAATGTTTCCTGTTCCATTCTCAGTACCAATATATGGGTCAATGTCTGCTCTATTCTGGGAAATCATCAGGCCTATGTAGTTGAATTGATCCTGTAGGCCATATGCCTGGTCTTCACTGCCATTAGAAATCAATGCTAGGGTCAATTTGTATATGACCATATTGAAAAGACCACACTATACTCAATTATAATAAGTAATTCCACAGGGTAAATTATAAGTCACACATTTGGAATACAAATAGGGTAAATTCAGCAATGGCTCCACTGGACAGATTAAGTAATTGCCAAATACTTATGAATATATGAATTCACTACATATATATCCAGTGCTAGGGCACTGTGAATTTCAAAGAAGTATAAGACTTGGTCTCTGTTTTTGGGGGTTCATAGTTTAGTAGGAGAGTTTGATAAACATAAATGAAACAACTTAAGAATTTAAGAATCAATCTTTGCAAAAGCCATATTAAGTAAGAATGGTGAGAGCTGGAAGACTTCCTGGAGGATATGTAAGCTTTGCTGGACCTAAATGATGGGTATAATTTGGATATTCAAGAAAAGCAGAAACATTGTGGAAAGGCATTTATGAAGTGAGTAAGGGAAGTGAAGACAAAGATTCAAATATTGCAAACAGTAAAAAGGATGACCTGGACATAAGGCAGTAAGGATACAAGGCTGACAAGGGGGTTATCATGGCAAAGGTCAGAGGCTTTCTCAGTAAAACACATTGAATTCAATATAGCTTAAAATTCAAGACTTAATTTATTTAGGGCCAATTACTTACATTTACTGAGATATGATGCTTGACCCCCAATTTATTCATATATACAGTGGAGAAAATAAAACCTTCCATAATTCTATAATACCCCTTCTCTATAAGGATTTATTTTTAAAAGATTTTATTTATTTATTTTAAACAGAGGGGAAGGGAGGGAGAAAGAGAGGGAGAGAAACATCAATGTGTGGATGCCTATGGGTGCCTGGCCCCAAACCCAGGCGTGTGCCTGACTGGGAGTTGAACTGGCCACCATTTTGTTTGCAGGCTGGCGCTCAATCCAATGAGCCACACCATTTAGGGCTTTATAAGGATATTTGAAAGATAAAAAGTAAAAATATATGTGAAAGTGCTTATAAAACATAAAGTGCTATTCATGTGCTTTAAGTTATACAAATCCTGGAAGAGTGAAAGGAATGAATATTAAAATATCTTCAGTTGGTTTATTAACAGGTCTGGCCAATAGTTTGATTCAATGCAAGTTGAAGTGTAGAGGATCAAATTAAATTTTTGCAGTACTATAGTTTTCAACTACACAAATTTTCTTTGCACCATTTTATTGCAGTCAACTAAATGCAGACTATCACCCTGGCTGGTGTGGCTCAGTGGACTGAGTGCCAGCCTGCAATCTAAAAGGTCCCTGGTTTGATTCCCAGTCAGGGCACAAGCCTGGGTTGTGGGAGGGTCTCCAGTGGGGGTGTGTGAGAGACAACTGATGTTTCTTTCACACATTGATCTTTCTCCACCTCTCTTTCTCCTTTCCTTCTTCTCTAAAAATAAATAAATAAAATATTTTTTAAATGTTGACTACACATGGAAATTAACTACTTTTTGGTGTAGATATTATTTTTTTTAAGTGGAAAATAACTAGGAAGAAAGAGGCCAAAATTTCTCTTCCTAAATTATGTGTAAACACATCCGTTAGAAATAGAAAGCAGTGTAATAAGGAAGTTTATTATGTATATAGTAAACAAACAAATGAGCAAACAAAAAACACTGACTAGAATGTGGTCCCTAAGTTCAATGCATATGGCATTTTGTCTTGGACATAAAAAATGGCAATTGATAAAATTTTCAACAATTTTCAATTAAGGCTCTGAACCTTGAGAGAAAAGGAATGTACATATGTTGAAGTTAATGCCCAAAACAGCCATGCCTACTAAGACCCCTGAATTCCTTCTCAGATCACTCTGGCTTGTTGTAATAAATATATACAACAAAAGAAATGTTTTTATTCTATTTTTATATTGCCTTAATAAATCTATTACTATATGTAAGGATTCAGCAGTATTTTAAAAGTCTTCACCTGCCAAGACCCCATAATCCAAATGATTTTCTGTTAACATTTCATAGTAATTCAAATAAAATTTTAAGTATAATAAAATAAATAGAGAACTCTGTTAGTATTTTATCAAGACAGGCATAGAAGTAATTTTCTTTTGCCTGAAATTCATGTATCTTATTAACACTGGTAGGTGTTTTCTTCATGTCAAGCTTTTCATGATCAAGTTGTTATCACACATTTTCTGGCCAAGATGGAGGCATAGGTAGACACACTGTGCCTTCTTGCACAACCAAAAGAACAACAACAAATTTAAAAACAAAAAAACAACCAGAACTGACAAAAAATCCAACTGTTTGGAAGTTGGACAACCAAGGAGTTAAAGAAGAAACATTCATCCAGACTTAGTAGGAGGGACAGAGATGCACAGCCAGGCAGAGGGGACTTGCAACAAGGCAGCAACTTTCAGACCAGGAGAGGTGGCAGCAGGTGGACCAGGTGGTCCCTCATTTGTGTGCAGATAAACCAGGAGTAACAGCTGGGGAGTGAGACAGGTGAGCAACCCTGGGTTCTAGTGTGGGGAAATAAAGCCTCAAAACCTCTGACTGAAAATACCTGTGGGAGTTGAGGCAGTGGGAGTGGGAGAAACTCCTAGACTCAGAGAAGTCATTGGAGAGACCCACAGGGTTCTAGAACATACAAAAGCCCACCCACCCACGAATCAGCACCAGAAGGGCCCAATTTGCTTGTGGGTAGCGGGGGAAGTGACTGAAAGCCAACCAAGAGCTGAGCAAGCAGCCTTGTTCCCTTTCAGACTCTTACCCCACAGACAGCTCCACAAAGCAGCAACCTGGGCTGCCTGGCCCTGGCAAATACCTAAGGTTCCACTCCTTACTATGAAACAGGCATGATGAAACAAAAATAATGGTCCAAATGAAGGAACAGATCAAAGCTCCAGAAAAAATACAACTAAGCGATGAAGAGAACTCATATCAGATGCAGAGTTCAAAACACTGGTAATCAGGATGCTCACAGCAATAGTTGAGTATGGTTGCAAAATAGAGGAAAGAGTGAAGGCTATGAAAAGTGTATTAAAAGAAAATGCACAGGGAACCAACAGTGACAGGAAGGAAACTGAGAATCAAATCAATAATTTGGACCAGAAGGAAGAAATAAACATTCAACCAGAACAGGATGAAGAAACAAGAATTTAGAAATATGAGGAAAGGCTTAGGAACCTCTGGGACAACTTTAAATGTTACAGCATCTGAATCATAGTGGTGTCAGAAGAAGAAGAGGAAGAAATTGAAAACTTATTTGAAAACATAATGAAGGAGAACTCTCCCAATCTGGGAAAGGAAGCTCAGAGAGTCCCAGAGAAGTTGGACCCAAGGAAACACAAACAAAGTCACATCATAATTAAGTTACTTATGATTAAAGATAAGGAGAGAATCTTAAAAGCAGCAAGATAAAAGGAGAGATTTACCTACAAAGGAGTTCTCAGAAGACTTTCAGCTGATTTCTCAAAAGAAACCTTGCAGGCAAGAAGGGGATGGAAAGAAGTATTTGAAGTCATGAAAGGCAAGAATCTACATCCAAGATCACTCTATCCAGAAAAGGTATCATTTAAAATGGAAAGGCAGAAAAAGTGCTGCCCAGATAAGGTCAAGTTAAAGGAGTTCATCATCATGAAGCCATTATTATGTGAAATGTTAAAGGAACTTAACTAAGGAAAAGAAGATAATTAAAACTATGAATAGTAAAATGACAACAAACTAACCAACTATCAACAATGGAACCTAAAACAAAAATTAACTAAGCCAACAACTAGAACAGGAATAGAATCACAGAAGTGGAGACTACATGCAGGATTATCAGTGGGGAGAGGGAGGAAGAAGAATGGGGGAAAATTTACAGGGAGTAAGAAGCATAAATGGTAGGTACAAAATAGACAGGGGGAGGTTAAGAATAGTATAGGAAGTGGAGAAGCCAAAGAACTTATATGTATGACCCATGGACATGAACTAAGAGGGGGGGCAATGAGGGTGGGGGAATGCAGGGAAGAGGGGGATAAGGGAGAATAATGGGATAACCATAATAGCGTAATTAATAAAATATATTTTTAAAAAGTTGTTACACATTTTACTTTAGTTATTTAGTTATTTTTAATTACTTTATTTTAATTTAATCTTTATTGTATGTTTCCATTACCTTTTAGAACACTTATATCCCTTTCCTCCCAGAAATCACAACACGGTTGTCTATGTCCATTAGTCTTTTTTCCTTTTTGCTCAGTCCCTCCACTCCCTCACCTCTCCCCTGCACCAGCTGTCATCGAGCTCTCCATCTATAAGTCTGTCCCCATTTTCCTTGTTAGTTCAGTTTGCTCACTAGATTCTACTTATGAGTGAAATCATATGGCATTTGTCTTTCTCAGACTAGCTTATTTCACTTAGTATGATGTTCTTCAGGTCCATCCATACTGTTGCAAAGGGTTAAATTTTCTTCTTTTTTATGGCCAAGTTGTCTCTGATGGATCCTTAGGCTGCTACCATTTCTTGGTGGTTGTAAATAATGCTGCAATGAACATAGGGGTGCTTATGTTCTTTCGAATTAATGTTTTGGGTTCCTT